CATCATTATCACCAGTACCCTGGTAGAAGTGAAATGAATGTTGAATTTTTTCATGATTATCTAAGATTCTGTCTTTTATTTTATGTAGTCCAGGTTACTTATTTATTTATGAATGTTTTCCTTTCTGTATTCATGCTGATGTTCCCCATATTTTTTTTATTAAGGTATCATTGATATACACTCTTATGGAGGTTTCACAAGAAAAACAATGTGGTTATTACATTCACTCTTATGATGTTCCCCATGTTTTTCTAATATTTTTGGGGAATTCTGTTTCTCTATTTTTTTTTGGTCTCTTCTTGAAAGCGTAGTTGGAATTTCCTGGGACACATTCACTGTTTCTGTAGCTGAGGCACAATGTTCTGATCATATCTTAGTCCTGAGGGCTAGTGGCTCTAGTGGGTCGTGATCATCAGTTGTCAGTCGTAGCTTTGCTACAACTGAAGAGGAAACTCCTAAGGCTGTTACTTCATATCTGTTTGGGCAAGAGCAAATTATTATTATATATTTTGAAGTAGTTTGCAGTTCTCATATCAAGAGGGGAATAAAAAGTTCATTAAAACAACCACATCTCTCAAGTACTCTTCCCATTCTTCTGGTTGTTTTTCTTATTCCTACTTTGAATCACCATAAAACAAAATATGATACAATTCATTTTCTCCACTGGATACCTCTCAGTTGTTTCAGAGCAATCCCTAAATGTGTAGAAGTGGCAAATGCTAATTTTGGCAACAGGTTGAAAAGGTGAACACAATGAATCTTTGAAGAAGGGAGATATAAAATTGTAATAAATGGAAAATTTCTGCAGTTTTTCTGCCTGGTTCCTTGCCTCTGGACCCCTTTCACTTAAGCCCACCTCAAAGTTGTTAAATGTGCTTAGAAAATGGGTGCAAGTAGATATGATCCAACATGTTTTAGCAAATATGGTAACAAAGTGGAAAATGTATTATGAAAGAGAAGGAGAAGGGAGCAATGAGCAATTGTGCCTTTCAGAGATCAGACTCAGGCCATTCTTCCTGTCTTTATTCTTTAACAACACAAAGCCCTTCCTCTTCCAAATGAGATCTTAACCCTACCTCTTTCCCTGACAGTAAGGAGTCTGAAAAACAAATCCAGAATCTGACTCTTCCAATCAAATCCCATGACCACAGCTGGTGATTCATTCCTGTATCCATGGCTAGAGGAAACCTGACAACAGTTAGTGAGTTTGTCCTCATGAGCTTCTCATCCCTTCCTACAGAAATACAGTCGTTGCTCTTCCTGACGTTCCTCATCATCTACCTGGTCACCCTGATGGGAAACAGCCTCATCATTCTGATTACCTTAGCTGACCCCACGCTGCATAGTCCCATGTACTTCTTCCTCAGGAACTTGTCCTTCCTGGAGATTGGCTTCAACCAGTTCATACTCTATGCATTACTGAAAACCCAAGTGTTGCTTTTATTGTATCTTTTCTGATTATGGCTCTGAGTGCAGGCTCTGCCTTTTACTGCCCAGGCATAAAGGGTACCACATTCCCTAACTACCAAATTACTTAACCTCTAACCTTCAGTTCACGCATGAGCTGTATGGGGAGGATAACAGCATCTATATCAGACAGTTGTTTGGAGACTATAGAAAAATAAAAGGAAAAATGCATAGCTTCTTAAATGAGGGCAACCTTACATATTACTGGAAGATCATTAATTTCATTTAAAAAATCACATTTATTAATGCAAATGTATTCTCTTATAAGAAAATTTTGGTCTGTTTCTCAGATTATTTTCCATTCCTTATTCCTAATATTGCATATTTTTGTTTTCTTCATTTATTTCTTTAGATTTTTCAATAGCTTATCTCTACATTTAATTTCAAAGGACAAACTCAGATATATTTGCCAATTTTACAACTTTTAAATCAATTTCTACTTTCAATTCTGTTTCCTCCTTTCTGTGCCTATTTCCTTTCTAGAGTATTTGCAAATGCAGTCAGTTTATTTTCATTATTTATTATGCAATAATAATTAAAGTTTTAGCTTTCCCTCCAAGTTTTTTAAACCTGAATATACCGTTTCCTCATGTGTGCTTTCAGCAGAAATCTGCTGTTCTTCTGAGTTCCTTGGTTTCCAGCTTTATTGAGTTATAGTTGATATTTAACACTGTGTAAGTTTAAGATATTAAACATGATGATTTGATAACATCTATTCCATGAAATGTTTACCATATTAGGGTTACTTAATACTTCCATCCTCTCACATTATTGCCTTTTGTGTGTGTGTGTGTGTGTGTGTGTGTGTGTGGTGAGATATTAAAGTCACTCTTACCAACTTTCAGGTATGTAGTACAGTATTGTTACTACAGTTTCCATGTTGTACATTAAACCGCCAGTACTTTTTCCTCTTACAACTGGAAGTTTGTACCCTTTGACCAACATGTATCCATTTCCTCCACTGTTAGCCCTTAGCAATCACCATTCTACTGTTTCTATGAGTTTAAGTCTTTTAGATTCTACATATAAGTAAGCTCCTACAGTGTTTGTCTTCCTGTCTGACTTTACTTAGCAAAATGCCCTCAAGTCCCATCCATGTTGTCTGTCACAGGTGGCAGGATTCCTCCTTTTTTATGGCTGAATAATATTGCCTATGTATATGTACCACATCTTTGTCCATTCGCTCCTCAGTGGACACTAAGGTTGTTGTGGCATCTTAGCTCTGGTGAATGATAGCTGCAGTGAACACGGGAGTGCAGATCTCTCTGTGAGATAGTGATTTCATTCCCATTGGCTGCATACATGTAAGTGGAAGTGCTGGATCATATGGTTATTCTATTTGTAATTTTTTGAGGAACCTCCATACTGCTTTGCATCAGAACTACACCAATTCACATTCTGCACTAATAACAAATAGGGTTCCCTTTTCTGCAACTCCTTGCCAACACAGTTTATCTCTTGGTTCTCTGATAATAGCCATTCTGACAGGTGGGAGGTGTTACCTCATTGCGGTTTTGATTTATATTTCCATGATGATTAGTGATGGCTGAGCACATTGTCATGCACCCACTGACTATTTGCAGGTCTTCTTGGGAAAATGTCTCTTCAGGTCCTCTACCCATTGTTTAATCAGATTGTTTATTTTTTTGTTACTAAGTTGTAAGATTTCTTTATATACTTTGGATGTAAAACTATTATCAGCTATATGGTCTGCAAATATTTTCTTCCATTCCACAGATTGCCCTTTGATTTTGTTGAAGTTTCCCTTCTTGTGCAGAAGCTTTTTAGTTGACATAGTCCCACTTGTTTATTTTTTGCTTTTGCTGTTTGTCCTTTTGGCATAAGATTCAAAAAATTGTTGCCAAGACCAATTTTAAGTAGTTTTTCTTGTATTTTCTTTTAGGGATTTGATGGTTTCAGGTCTTACATTTAAGGCTCTAATCCATTAGAATTCAATTTTGTGAATGATGTGAGATGGAGTTGTTTCTTTGTATGTAGCCTAAAGGGTCTTTTGGTTGTAACTTGTGTGGTTTTGCTTTTTCATTTTTGTTCCCTCTCTGAATGTTTAAAGGAAGTTTACTCTCAAAATTAAAAGAAAAATAACTGAAAGACCAAGATGCATAGTTGTGAGTGTATTTGCATTTCTTTTGCTGCATCCTAAGGAGTGCTTTCACTTCAAAAACTATTCCCTCTGTGATTTTACTCATTTTCCTGGTACTTTGTTTCTTATGATATTTTCATGATTTTATACAGCACCATGCACGCTTTGCCTATCTTTTAGCCAACCTCACTGTCATCTCTGTTGCCTGTAAAACCATCATAGACTAAATTAGGTGTCCTGGTTCCTCACAGGCCCTCAAGGTATTGTGTATTTCTTGTGTTGTGATTAATTACAGTGATTACATAATATCTCCTCCAGTAGATTCAGTGAATAGTCATCATATCACTGGTACCTTGATACAAGTGAAATAAATATTTGATTTTTTCATAATTTAAAAATATTTTGTCTCTTATTTTATATAGTCCAGGTTAATTGTTTATTCATGAATGTTTTCCTTTCTGCATTCACTCTAATGTTCCTCATATTTAAAATTTTTTGTGGGAATCTGTTTCTTCTTTTTTTTTTATTTGTTCATTCTTGAAAGAGAAGCAGTTGGAATCTCCTGAGACACAGTCACTTTCTGTGTAGCTGTGGCACAATACTGTGTTTAGATCTCAGTCCTGAGAGCTAGTGGCTATAGTGGGTCCTGATCTTCAGTTGTCAATAGTTAGCATTGCTGGACTGAAGTGGAAACTCCTAAGGCTGTTACTTCATATCTGCTCAGGCAAGAGGGAATAATTATTATATGATTTGAAGTAGTTTGCAATTCTCATCAAGAGGGGAAAAAGTTCATTTAAAGTACTATAATTCTGCAAGTATTCTTCCCATACCTCTTCTGGCTTTTCTTTTTCCTAGTTTGAATCAACTCAATATAAAATAGAACAGAATTCATTTTCTCCACTGGATACATCTCAATTGTTTCAGTGAAGTCCCTAGATGCATCCAAAAGGCAACTACTAATTTTGGCAGTAGATAGAGAAGGTGAACACAATGAATCTTTAAAGAAGGGCAATATGTGATTGGAAAAAATGGAAATTTTCTACTGTTTTTCTATCTGGCTCAAGTTCATTGCCTCAGGACCCCTCTCACTTAAGCCCACCTCTAAGGTATTAAGTGTGCTGAGAAAATGGGTGCAAGTAGATGTGACCCAACATGTTTAGCAAATATGGTAGCAAAGTGGAAAATGTATCATGAAAGAGAAGGAGAAGGGAGCAAGGAGCAATTGTGAAGAATAAAGACAGGAAGAATGGCCTGAGTTCGGAGATCAGACTCAGGCCATTCTTCCTGTCTTTATTCTTTGACAATACAAAGCACTTCCTCTTCCAAATGAGATCTTAACCCTACCTTTTTCCCTGACAGTAAGGAGTCTGAAAAATAAATCCAGAATCTGACTCTTCCAATCAAATCCCATGACCACAGCTGGCGATTCATTCCTGTATCCATGGCTAGAGGAAACCTGACAACAGTTAGTGAGTTTGTCCTCATGAGCTTCTCATCCCTTCCTACAGAAATACAGTCGTTGCTCTTCCTGACGTTCCTCATCATCTACCTGGTCACCCTGATGGGAAACAGCCTCATCATTCTGATTACCTTAGCTGACCCCACGCTGCATAGTCCCATGTACTTCTTCCTCAGGAACTTGTCCTTCCTGGAGATTGGCTTCAACCTCGTCATTGTGCCCAAGATGCTGGGGACCTTGATCGTCCAGGACACAACCATCTCCTTCCATGGCTGTGCCACTCAGATGTATTTCTTCTTCTTCTTCGGAGCTGCTGAATGTTCCCTCCTGGCCACCATGGCATACGACCGCTACGTAGCCATCTGCTATCCCTTGCACTACCCTGTGATCATGAACCCAAGGACACGTGCCAAACTGGCTTTTGCCGCTTGGTTTCCAGGCTTTCCTGTAGCTACTGTGCAGACCACATGGCTCTTCAGCTTTCCATTCTGTGGTGCCAACAAGGTGAACCACTTTTTCTGTGACAGCCCACCTGTGCTGAGGCTGGTGTGTGCAGACACTGCACTGTTTGAGATCTATGCGGTGGTTGGATCCATTATATTCATCATGATACCATGTTTGCTGATCCTGTGTTCCTACACTCGCATCGCTGCTGCCATTCTCAAGATTCCATCAGCTAAAGGGAAGCATAAAGCCTTCTCTACCTGCTCCTCCCACCTCCTTGTTGTCTCCCTTTTCTATGTATCTTCAAGCCTCACTTATGCCCGGCCTAAGTCCAATAATTCTCCTGAGAGCAAGAAGCTGCTGTCATTGTCCTACACTGTTGTGACCCCCATGTTGAACCCCATCATCTATAGCCTGAGAAATAATGAGGTGAAGAATGCTATTGGCCAGACCTTCCGCAAGTTCGTAGGCCTCAGAAGCTGCATCCTGTAGTCTTTTAAGAGACAAGATCAAAGTTTATGGAATGAGGAACAATCAGTTTCATGTTTGTGATCCTTCTCTGCTTCTCCTCCCATGTGTACTGAGCTCACAGCCAGCTGCTGAAATGACTACTGATGAGCTCAGAGAGATAATAACACAGAGGTAGTTTAGACTTATCTCTACCATCTGCCAAATCCTCTGCATGCCTATTGTAGGCTTAAGTTCTTTTTCTTATTGGCTCACTGGTGTTCTGGAACATCTGTGGCCAATCCATTCCAAGTATTAACTTTGTTAGTGTTCTCCAATGTTGCACACATTGTTCACAGTATGAGCCTGCTTGTTATGTGAATTTGGGGACACAACAGTCATCCTGGCATTTTATCTTGTTTTGGATTAAGTCTGACACCATTCAATCCAAAACAAACAATAAACAAACACAATTCTTCCAGTACATAATACTTGTCATTCATTCATTTTATTTTGTATGCTGCTCTGGCAGGCTGAGTTGGATCTCGTTTGTTGTTATGCAATGTGGATACAGGACCAGCCATCCCCTTTATATTCCTTTATAAACCCAGTGACATTAATCAACTCCATCCTATGCTGATTATACCAGGTAGAATGATGTGAATTTTCAATTCTCTTGCAAGTTCATCTTCAGGCTATTAGGTCTTGTTGTAGTAATTTCAAAATTCCTCAAGTGTGAGTTCAATCATGGTGTTGCTTTCTTCAAGGGTTAAAAGGAATCATAGGTTACTCCAATATGATCTTTTTTTTTAACAACTCTGTATGTTTTATTACAAATAAAATGTTGTATTTGTTGATATGAACGTCAAAACACCATAAAGCCCAATTGCTGCTCTCTGAAGTTTGTAATTTCATGACCAATAGAAATTAAGAAAGAAAAATTTGTAAGTCCTGAAGAAATGGACTATTACATACCATAAAGGGACTTGCCTGGATTCAGTCCTACTCTGTCATGTACTAATTGGGTGACCATGAAAAGGTCAATCAACCACTTTTTGCCTCTTTCTTCATCTGTAATATGATGCAAATATTAATAGTATCTGTCAGACTGGTTTGTTTTAAGGGTAAATTTTAGTGTAAAGCATTTGAGAAAGCACTAAGCATATTACTGATCCATATTTAGGTATTTACTTTTAGCATTACCTCATCTGAATCCATCATTTCATAGCTAAGGAAAGCAATATTCAAGACATTTGATTATAGATAATAGGAATACAATTCAGATAGCTTGAATCTTAATTCTGTCCTTTCTTAGTACCATGAAATTCAAAGCTAATTAACTCAGAATCAGCATAAAATATTATTTTAAAAGCAGTATACAGAGACTTGAGTATGTGAAAATATTTGTGAGAAAGACAAGAGAAACATGAATTTAATCCAACTTAAACTGCATTATCAGAAATATAATTAGAATTGTAGGAATTAACCAATAAAAAATGCTCAACACTATTCCAAAATGATTAGACCACATTTGGAATGTCCTTCCTTTAAGACATATATATATATAAACTAATAAGTTGTTTTATTGCCATATAACTGAGATATAACATTATATTAGTCAAGTGCACAACATAATGATTCCATATATGCATACATTGCACAGTGATCATCATAATAAATCTAGTTAACATCTGCCACCTCACAGTTACAAATTCTTTATAAATTTTTTACAAGGAAATTCATATGATTTACATGTTGAAACAAGAGATCAAGTGAAGAAATGAGCAATGTTTTGTTTTAGAGAGAGAATATATGATGTTACAAATATTTGAATAATTTCGAGTGCAGTAATCCCAAGGTCACATAGTCACCAAAATAGTAGGGGCAGGATATGAAACTGAGACCTTGACATCAACTACAATTTCCCCCTATTACAAGTTAGCTGTGATTTATGTATACAATGCAATAAAAAACTTTCAAAACCAGGAATTGCCCTAAAATTAAATAAGCAGTTTTATAACCAAAGATTAGGGGAGGAAGCTACATTGTCACTTGCCAAGGATAATTTTGGAGCATATTATTATATAGTTATTCTGAATACTGTATCTGATATAAGTCTACATAATGAGATCAGTTCCACTGTATAGTCAACAAACTGTTGCCATTACGATTTGGGGAAAATATGACAAGTAGAAAGAAGAAAAAAAGTTGACAAATTCTTATCACCCAGAGGCAAATGATATCATGTCAGTGTACTTGTAATGATCGCTGACAGCTGCAAACACACTGCACGGACATCTCATATAGTTGTTTTCATCATTTAATATCACACCAAGGCTGTCAGATTAGGCCCTTAACATCGTGTTTGAGAACAATACAGCAGTTTTCTAATCTAAAAATGGTGAAAGTAAATAAAGCTGTTTCTTCTCTAAGAACTGATGAGTGAACTCTATGCAACTACTCAGCTTTACTGTTGCAGCATGAGAATGGCTATAATGTGTAAATGAATGAGCATGGCTGTGTTCCAGTAAAACTTTCATTGGGACCGTAGAACGTGAATATCATATGCTTTACACGTGTCAAAGAATATTATTCTTGAGTTTTTTTCTAGCCATTAAAAATGTAGAAACCATCTTAACTCATGCACTATATGAAGACTACTGGAGGGTTGTACTTGACAATAGGCTATAGTTGGCTGACAGCTGGGTAAGAATGTGAACTCTATGGCTAAATGCCCAGGTTTTATCCTAGTTCTGTCACCTGGCAACTCTGTGATACTGGGCAAGTTATATAGCACCTCTGTGCCTCAGTTTCCTCTTTTGAAAGGTGAAGGTTATCATAGCACCCATTTCACATCTTGGTTGGGAGGACTAAATGAGTTAACACATGTATGTCACTAAAGAAAGCACATAGTTATTTCTATAGAAGGTTAACCATTGTAATTATGCAGAAGGTAGTGGCAATGAAGTGGATGCTGATGGTGAGAATAATAACATTTATGACATGGGAGGGAAAATGGAGGCAGATGAGGGTAGGGTGGTCATAGGAGCCAGATCTGGAAAGGCCTTCTATGTCAAGGCTTTGAACACTATTTTGGGAACTATATGGATCAATTGAAAGGTTTTCAGAGCAAACAAACAATCAAATCTTTATTTTGGAAACATTCCTTTGGCAGAGTGTAGAATGGGTGGCAAGGTGACACAGCCTATAACAGACTCCAGTCAAAAGATCTTCATACTCAGGCAGTTAAGAGCTCATGAGAGCAAATTCAGTGCAGGGAAAACCACCTGTGAGTCTCAGGATTTGAAGTCCTCCATTAATACGGGTCAGCAGAGCAGACATTAAGCAAAGCTGACAGCTCAGAGGGAAATCCTGGCGCCCTGGGCTGCACCCACTCCTGTAAGTGTGCAGGCCAGCAGGGACTCGAGCTTCACTAGGTGAGCTCACTGGGAGCTGTGGCTCTGCAGCCTGAGTTCCTTAGCTCTCTCCCCAGACCTGATACTCTTCCCCTCAGCTTCCCTCAGGCCCCAGGACAGACCACTGGGGCCTCAGTCAGGTGTGCTCTCTGAACAGCAGTGTGCCTCATTAACAACTTTTTAATGAGGTCACAGCCTGGGATTGCTCACTAATGGCTGGTTAGTCTGCAACCCCAGGGATGGAGGAGACTGAGGATGCAAGGAGTGAGAGCAGAGCTCAGCCAAAGTATAGCTGCATCAGAGGGAGACAGGACTCCCTCTAGCAGAGACTCCCAGGATTTTACTCTTGGGTCTCCAGGGTCCCTTCCAGCAATCAGAGACTGATTCTGCAGGTAGAGATGTGGAGGGAGCAGTGATTCTGTGGGAGGAATTACAGCAGCATCCAGTGATCCCCGACTTGGCCCAGAGATCCTTGAGGAAATCAAATGCTTTTCAGGTTCTCTTTGATGTCTGTGTAAAGGGAACATTGCTCTTGAAACTTTTTATCATCTTGCCTTCAAAAACCATTGAACAATTTCCTTTCTATTCCCTCTACATGTCCAAATACAGATTCTTTGTGTTATTTTTGAGGCTTTTAAACAATATTTGTCCTAGGACTGCAGTGGGTGGCCCTCTTTTTTTCTCCTCCTTGTGGACTTTTCTCTTAGATATACATCCATTGTCAGAATATCAAGAAATGCCCCTGTGGAGATGGAACTTGGGTATTGATGTATCTCCTAGTAGAATTATTGCTAGCGCCTCCTAACTGGTCTCCCAGTCTCCAGTCATGCTGCAGACTTAAATATACACCTCCTTCTAACCCATCCTTCTTTCCCTCTCCAGAATTCTTTCTAAATATACCTGTGATGGTCCATCAATATCAAGCTTAAAATCCCTACAATTCACACTCATCTTCAGAATGAAACTGATGTTCTGAACATGTCATACAAGCCCCTGAAGATTCAGCTATAGCTTATCTTTCCAGTTTCACTTCTTACGAGACCCCAACCATATAGTTGAATGGATATTCAACTCTTGTCATGCTGAACTATTTTCTTTCTCCCTAGACCTTGCCTTTCTGATTTCTCTAAGCAGAGTCTTCTTTATTCTGCTCAACAGTTTAGACCCTGAGACACACTGGTTCACATCTTTTGTCTAGTACTTGGTAGCTATGCAAATTCACAGAAATTACTGTAAATTTCTATCCTTATATTTCCTTATCTGTTAGAGGGATATAATATAATAACTTAATTTCATAACATATATATATATAATAATACTTAATACATAACAATATATAATAAAACAAAAATTACATAAACCAACCATTTCTACTTGTTGAGCTTTATGATGCTTTCTATACTGTATGTTTTTCAGTTGAATGTGGGAGATCAGTTATGCTAAATTCTTAAGGTTGTTTGCTGTAACTGCAGTGTGAGAAAAATATGTAAACTCCACCTCCTCAAATGGAGCAGGATGAATTAGGTAGCTAATATTTATTGACAAGCAAATATGAGTTACATACTTTTAATAAAGTATCAATTAATCTTAAAAGGAAAAGAAGGGACACAAACTCAACAGTCCAAGCAGGTTTATTGCTAATCCCAAGAGGGACCTCTCTGTTCTGGCGAGCAGAACAAAGAAGGCATGTCTTACAGGCTAGGAGTCTTTTTATGGCTCGGTTTTTGGTAGGTTTTTGAGGGGATGGGTCAGGGAAAAGGTGAGCTTGTGGTTTGCTGACATTTCCACCGGAGAATGTTTGTAGCCTAAGTAAGATGAAACCTAGGTCTCTCTGAGAAGGCTGGTGGGCTTATTCAAAAGTGTGGTACTCATGTCCAGGCTTAATCACTTCTGAGGTTTTATCACAACTTACTAGATAGTATACTTGCTCCAAATGGTGAATAACTGGTTTGATAGTAACATCTATTAAAGGGTCAGAGCTGGAATTTTAATTGACATCTTAATCCAAAATAGCATGTACTTTAAAAATTGTGTATGCCTTCCATATATAGAGATAC